ACTTTCTACGTTTTGAAATATCTCTGAATGTTTTAACTTGAAGCAATCTGCAAAGTTGAAGTAAAAGTAAATCTTGTTTATGAATTTAAAAATCATCTGTTTTATGCATTTAATGGCTTTATTATTATTAGGGGTGGAAATCTTTTACTTTCTCATGGTTCGATTCAAAATGATTATTCAAAAGGATTTCAGTTTTAATCTGTAAAGACTGGATTTACTCCAGGCTACTTTGCAAAGCAGAATGACAGATGGGGTCATTAAAGTACCTTTTTCACTTTTATTAAGTTTTAAATATAGGTCCATGCTTTTCTTTGTTTTGTTTTCTTCTACATCATGCTGAAGCTTGTATGTTCTGCAGCACCAAGCTAACAAAACTGGACTGTCTTTCTGTCCTTCAAGTCCCACAAAAGCAGTGAGGGTATATTTATTTTTAATGTGGAATGTTTTGTTTAGGTTAAATTTATATAATTTAAAAGGAACCTATTATGCAAAATTCCAATTTTGCTTGTTTGTGTACTTTCATTTGGGTCTCAACTGCTTCCTGAAACAACTCAAGCACTTAAAAAACTACACCCAGCTGCTTTTTGTTTGGAAAATGATCCGTTTCCATTGTTAAGTCGCATTCAGCAAGCAAGGCACTGTTACATAGCAACGCAGCACAGATCCAGCACATTTGGTCAGCTGGTTTTACTGCTATATTCTCTGTACAACGGCTGCTGGAAAAGAGATGGAGCTTTTTGTGAACTTGCCATTCAGAAACCACTTGCTGCATTCTTGTTGGTTGTGCAGGAGGCTCCACTTCTGCTTTTCGAAGATGTACGGTTGTAGAATTGGACATTTGTTAGCAGTGATTTTCACATACAACTGTAATTGTTAAGTTAGGGGCGTGGCCAGCAGCAGCTTGCTTGGATTTAAAGTGACAGGACGCCGTAAAACAGCTCACTGTGAACTGATCAGACTAAAATCTCATTACCTAAGAATGATTTTGTGCAAAAAGTTTAATTAACATGTTTTGTTTGGCAAAAATTAATTTTCAAGTTGTGATTTTGGACCTAATTGGACCTTTTTTTCTATTTTGTTGATTTACCATTCATAAACCACTCGCTACATTCTTGTTGGTTGTGCAGGAGGCTCCACTTCTGCTTTTCGAAGATGTACAGTTGTACAATTGGACATTTGTTTGCAGCCATTTTCACGTGCGGCTGTAAATGTAAAGTTGGGAGACGTGGTCAGTAGCAGCCTGTTTGGATTTGAAGTGACAAGACGCCCTAAAACAGCTCAAATAGGCAAATCTGACTAGAAAAAAATATCATCTAACAATGGTTTTGTGCAACAAACCTATTTAACATGTTTTGTTTAGACATAGGTCTGTCCTAATCTGTTCAAGGAAGCATAACAGGTTACCTATAAGAACTTGGTAAAGTCCAGATTGTTTTCTTTTTACTTCCTGATCCATTAAACTCTATAATCGGATGAGGTTGTACTTTCTTCCGACAGCAGCTTCCTCGTCTTTCCGAGGAGTCCAGGGAGCAGACCGGTGTCTTCGCTGTGTGTGTGTTTATCTGGCTGCGATTGGTCACGTCTTGTTTTTTACCTCATCGCCGGTTGGGCTCTGTCCTCACTGCGGATCCTGTGTGCATTTTTTTATTTTTCCATAATAGCTCTTTGTCATCTTATGGCGACGTACGTACAGACTGGTCACTGTATCACAATTTTGTAGCAAAAATAAGTGCCCAGACCTACATCATAAAAAGAATAAATGGCTAAAAAACAAATATATATATAAATATATATGCACACAGTCAGGCACCCATGTTACTGTTATCCATGCCTGCATGCATACACCAACATGTAGATAAACACAAGCGCTCTGTGTTTGTGTCAGAGTTTATTTAACACCTTATATATAAAGACGCAGAGATCCGAGACGCACCTGAGGACAGACTGTGCTCTGGATCCAAGAGAACGCGAAGAGAAATCTTTTTCTTCCGGAGAACAACTCTGCTCAGACCTTCTGGGACGAGGGACACTTGAAAGGAGACGGGAGGGGTAAAAGAAAAACTGCCATTATCTCCGTCTTTTCCCTCCCGGTCCTCCCTGCTCCTTCCAGGAGTGGCCTTTCTCCCCCCTTCCTCTCAATGGCGAAACCCAAGAGAGAGAAACGCTCAAATCAAATTTTAATACTACGATTGTTCTTACAGTTTTTAAACTTTAAACGGGGAAACACTGGAACTGCTGTTGATATGAAGAGATTTGTTGCTACTGCTTATCGTTACTATCATCGTCCTTACTGTTATTCCAGTTTCTTCCTGCGCGGGCTCAGGTGGTTGACTGCTGTGGAGACGCTGAATCCTCTACATTGTTTTAAGGTGAAAAGAAGCCTCGCGGACATAATGTGAAGCACATCGATGGGTATATTTTCCCTTTATTATGTTGACATGGTAACTTTAAAAGCCTCAAACTTTGCTTTTCTCCTTCAAAGTTTATTCAGATGCTGTATCGATGTAGCAACTGTTACTCTGGGGAAGCCCAGGACATATCGGTGATAGAAATTCAGTATAGCTAGCCCCTGTTATCAGATCTGTGTGCCATGTTTTTCATTTTACTTCTCCATCAGCTTTCATGGCACATTAACCTCTGAGATGGAATATAAGGGCTCTCTCATGACTTCACGCTTTCACTTCTCCTGCTGCTTTCCGAGTCCGAGAACACATCGATGCATCCCATATGGGAGTCGCTCTCCCCTCTGCTGTCTTTCAGTCTAGTTTTTCAGAAAAGAAAAAAGGTTTTCATGCATCTTGTTGCACATATTTTCACTCTGTCGATGTGAAATTTGCAAATGATTCATTTTTGTATCTGCAGAAGGTCAGGGGGAGATTATCTTAGAATGCATAGGAAATAGCAATAAGGACGATGAAAATAATGGTCATTAAACACGGTTTAAGATGTAAAAAAAAAAAGTCTCAAAAGTTCTACAGAATCTCTGTCTTCCAAATACTGTTTATCATGAAGATGTATTTATTTAACTGTTCTGCTTTCTATACAGTTTGACCCGTTCTCTGCATCTTAATGATCCAAGCTCCGCTCTGGTCGTTCTCTTTGCTCACGTGTCGGTGTGATCCCAGTGAATTATTTCTGTCATCTTTTGCATCAGTAACTCCTTACAAGGAAATTTGAGTAGCAATGTGTAATACAGGCCAGAACTTCGGTGGTACCAACAGGAAGCTCCAACTGTCCTTAGAGGTCACTTAAAGGGCGCCTAAAGGTGAAGTACCAACATGGAATCAGCTAAATTATCAACAGCAGATTCTTCCTTATGGATGCCTTGTTCACACGACAAGATTTCAAACCTATAAAACGCTTCCAGGGAGGGTACCGTTGGACACCTGCAAGTTACCTAAGGGGAACCTCTAGCCAGTTTTCTGAAATCCAATCCTTACCCCCCCCCCATGCCCTGCATGTTTTAGGTGCTTCTCTGTTCCAGAACACCTGATTCAGACAATTGAATGACCTCTTTTGCAACCATCAAGTGCTGCAGAGGCCTGTTAATCACCCACAGATTCAAGCCAGGTGTGTGGCAGAAGGGAAATACCTAAAACAATGCAAGGCAGCGGGCCACTGCTCTAGGTCACTTATTGGGAACCTATGGAGTTCTTACAAGTCACCTTATGACTGTGTTTACGAGCCATCTGTGGAGTTCATTGGGGTTATCTTATGGCTACTTACAGTACCAAGTATAAGGTACTTGGAGACGGTACCAGTAAGGTCCAGATATGCATAGTACACCTAAAAGTTACTTAAGGGTGTTTACTGGGAACCTATGGACTGCTTACAAGTTACCGATGGGGGTAATTGTGACGTGTCTGAGTTCATACGGGTTACCAAGGGACCTGTGGGGTAACTTCCAGGGTCCTTATTCAGTACCAAATAAAGTTATAGGGTTCCACCCTTTGTTAAATCATTTCATTCTCTCTTCTATGAATAATCGGACATTAGCGTTTCAGGTTGTTTTTGGGGGGGTTTGTAGTTTTTATTTATAAGATGTAATGCTAACCTTACATTTCAATGAAAAATATCTTAGAAACTATTTCTAGCCCCCATCAGTACCCTGGAGCTTCTCATTGTATTACATGTTGCTAACAGCGTTTCTTGGTGAAGGTAAAAGTTTTTATTAAGCCTGTTCAACAGCCAGATGTTTCTGTCAGATCTGCAAAATGTTCATGTAGTGTAAATTTAGCTCAACAGGAACTCATCTCTCTTCTCTTGTGACTCGTGAGAAAATATTCTGGACCTTTTTTTCTGTATTTCTTATTTAAAACTAGTAAGTGGCCCACATATCAGCTGTCAGGGGTTAAAGGTTACAATCTGAGGGGAATCGGTCCGACTCTATAGAAAGCATTTCTTTTCCTTTAAGAGATCTTTAAAAAAATGAGAGTATGAACTGAAGAAAGGTATCTTACAGAATATATATATGTATATGTGATATGCATATACACACATTCATATAAATATATATGAATTTCAAATGTTTTAAGAGATAATAAATTGTTAGAATTATAATAAAGATAAACAAAGCTCTAGTTTATGGTGGATTGTGTTCCTGTGAAGACACATTTTGCTTTTCAGGTTTTGTCTCTAACCTTGCAGATGCAGGTAAGCCTGAAACATTTTTATCTACGGTAATTTCAGTTATTTACAGAAAAACATCCGACTTCTGAAGTGTCATCAGTAAATAAATGGACGTTCCTACCGAGTATGGAGAACTAAACAGGTAATTTGTAAGTTTGTGTAAGAATATAAAAATAAGATGGAAGAAAAATCTTTTATGCTTAAAATTCCTAAAGAACAAATTTGTTTATGTATATATTTTTCACAAAATGACACCAAGTCCAAGTTAGATTCGTTTTTCTTGTCAGTTTGGAATAAATGTAATTTTACTTTTCCACCCCACACAAAAAATATTCATCCTCTTGACAATTTGTTTTTATATCCTAAAAACTGAATTTTTTTTTTTTTAAATATGTTAGATATTTCTCTAAAATAAGTTATCCTATTTTCAAAATGTGACACTTGCAGCTCTTAAGTTTTGTTAGGTTGTAGTTTGCAGAAATACATTGTTCTGTAAAAAACACTTCCTCAAAAATTAAAATATAAACGTAATTAACCTGGTCTGCTCTAGTCAACTACTTCTGAATTTAAGTTCCCATCAGGTTTAAACCTAAATTTTTAAGTAGCTGAATATTGACGAATACATAAATGTACATAATCACACAAAATTTCAAATCCAAGTTTTATTTATTGACCAATTACACGCACATCAAGTAAAACTGGAAGAAATGTGCCGCAATTCGGTGAGGAAGTCTGCAGGAATAAGCATCTGAAAAGAAAAATTACAGCAAAATTAACTTTCAATATTCAACAAGGAAGCAGATAAAATAATTTGAATATTGTTTCTTCAGACAGAGCTGCACTTTTTCACCACTGAGTTTTATGAGCCCAGTGCAAATGTCAAGAAATTGGAGAAATTCAACATGGATTTTAACACAAACCTCTTCAATTACTCGTCTTTCCAAGTGATTCAAACCCTAGAAATAAAAAAGAAACGTGTAAGTTTGAGATTGTAATCATTAGGAGGACGTCATGAAGTCATTTTCTCCTCAGAAACTCTGGCTTGTCAAGGCCAAAGATGCACTTCTGTCTCCATACAGACTCAGAGCCCAGTGCAAGTCATCAGGGGAGAAGCTTTTAGATTCTCATTGGACTTGAATGTTTGACCCACCTAGCAGAGTCCATCTTCATTTAAATCATTTCTGCATTACCTACAAATGAAAAGAGGATAGAGTTAACTCTATGGTGTATGATCACTTAAGCTCAACAAGGTTTAGCTTTCATTTTCCTCAGAAACTCTGGCTTGTCAAGGCCAAAGATGCACATCTTCTCCATACAGACTCAGAGCCCAGTGCAAGTCATCACAGGAGGGCCGAAAATGGTAAATAATCACAGAAAACCGTCATTTAAAGCGAACAGAGACTAAAAATCGCTCGCGTTTAACTGGCACTTTGAGCATAGCATGCTAGCAGCTTATGCTAAACACGTGGAGTCAGCTCCACGTGGTTGAAAACCAGTCTCCATAAAAAAAAAACTCAAATTTTATATTTAACTACCTTCATAGCGCATATTATAAACCCTGTGAGGGAGAGGTTGTTAAATTCGGCTCACAATTTATCCACCAAAGCATTTAGACTTTCGGGAAAAACATGCGAAAATAAGCCAATTTACGAATGATGAGTAACAGCTGGAGACTCGCTAAAAAATTTTTATCTTACAGTGAATATTGCATAATATTTCTGATCTAAGTAATGCTAATTTACCTCCATCGAAAAGTGAACCGTTCCCCACTCTTCACCAACAGTTACTGACCGATTATAACTGAGGCTGCACAGTTTGACTACTGGCAGCAACGTAACTTCCGCTTTACTTCCCCCTGGTGGACGGGAGGAGGAAATGGAGATTTACCCTGAATAAAAATAAAACAAATACGATTTGTGAATTTCCACTTAGTTGTATTAATTTGAAATCAATAAAAACATACAGCTCCACCCTCCTGTAAATAATTACATAAAAACAGATGAGTCTATATAAGTAGCAAATCGTTTTGCTATTTATATTATACATTTATTTATGTGGATTTATATAATTTATAATGTATATATTTAGAAATTTTGAAATAAAAATTGCAACAAATATAAAAAAAAATCTAATCACATCTTGTGGATATTGTTTAACTGTTTTGATTTTAAACAAAACCAAATTACTAAATTACTGCTACTGATTAATATTTTTACTTTGTATTTGATCTATTTTACTTATGCATTTATTTTTTGGAACCAGGGGAAATTAAATAACTATTCTCATAGGTTATGCGACATCACAAGTCTGCAATCTTTACAACCTGCAGAGACTATTTTATTTGCAGGCCAGTCAACTAACCAAAGTTAGGACCAAGGAGCTGCAGGTAGCAGTGATAGATATCTAATTTTGCAGCAAATAAAAAGAAACAAATGTAAAAATACTATCTAAACGATTGAATTTTTATTTTCTGAAAAAATGGCACATTTATGCATAATTTATACAATTATAACACCAAACCCTGCGTTTAAACATGCGTACCAGTGTTTATATGTGAAGTTACTTTTTCTGACCACCAGAGGGCGCGCTCTCCCGCTCGAATATAAAGTCATATTCAGTAAATTAGAAGGTGCTTCTGATGAGGCTCGTTAGCTTTATTAAAAGTACCTTTGGAAAATTACTTTTAATCAGGTATTAAAACTACTTTTCATTAAGCCCACATTTCTGTATTTTTTTTAATTAGTCTGCTGTAATACTAATTATAATGTCATGTTTTTACAGCGGAAAATAATTGTAATTTCCAGGAATAAAGGCTTGAAACATCAGTTTGTGTGGTATAAACTTAATGAATTAAGCTACTGAAATAAATTAAAATTTATTGATTATGACCGTATATTAGAATAATTAACATTAAACTCTTTGTGTAGAGAAGTGAATGTTCTGTATGTTGTAATAAAAAGGTATTGAACATGTCTGATTTCTGGAACCCTCAAGCCAAAACCATGTTGGTTTAAGTGAAGGCTCTGAATCATGCTGGTATGTGTCAGTGGTTGTTTATCTCCTGTGATGGACTGCTGTCCTCTTCAGGATGTATTAAATCTACTTGTCAGAGTGACTCCAACATCAGGACAATGTGACATCTGTACGACCAACAAGCCGGGCTCCTGCCGCTAAAACCACCTGGCCTCTTAACAATCCTTTTCAGCAGAAACTGGCTTGCTTTGCTCTTCTCCTTTCCCCAAAAAAATATCTGTACTTAAATATCTGTTCTTGTGAAATCACATATTCAATCACGATTACGTACTTTCAGTTTATTACGGCCTTCATGCAAGTTTTAAGAATAATATCCCCTCAAATCCCTCATTGAAATGTGGATTAGCATTAATTGTAATTTTAATAAGATAAAGAAAATAATTTTTGTAGTTTAGTCATGGAGTTTGAAAGTAATTTGTGACTTCCTTTTAGGAGATGATGATCCAAATAAACACAGAAATGGCTAAAAAGCATTAATAATAATAATTCAACGTTTTGACATGACTCGGGATTCGGCATGTAAACCCCAATCGATTAATTATTAAAGTCCGCTGAGATTTTTTTTTTCCAGTGTTGTAGTTTGGCCTCCATTCAGCAGAGGGCGCCGCTGGTCATTCTTAAAACGGTGCCGTTTGATTCAGAAACAAAGATGGCGGCAAAGAGAACCGATCCAAACGGAGTCCGACTTGGGATGCAAGACTCACTTTATCCGTTAATGTTTCGAAATATTAAACACTCGACAAACTGTGGAGTTGCCGTCAACTTCTCAACCGAAACTTACAGATTTGCTACGAAGGTGTGGACGTTTAAACAAAAAACGGAGGATATAAAGCAGAAAAATTATAGCAGAAAAAGACATGACGCCAATTAGCAGGGTTGATTTTAAGGACAGTTTAACTTTAATCAGCTGATATATCCACATTTTTTCTATTTATTTAGTCAGTATTTAACACAGCTAACAAAATGTTTAAATGTACTTCTATTTTAAAATTCTTTATACATCTTTTACGTCGGTAAGAGCACTAGATTAACTCGTTAATCGATAACTTTCCATTTTTAAACAATATTTAGTGCACTAAAATGTCAGAAAAGAAGCACAGGGGTGCCAGTAAGTGTGGAGGAGGGAGTAAATTTCACATGTTGGCCTTTTTTCTCCCGCCTCATGTTGTAATTTCCTTCTACTGTCCTTCCAGAGTTGATTATAGGTTTTCTGAGAGCAGGTTGAGCAGCTGCGTGCGAGCTCTGCAACACACACTTGTCTAGTTATTTACCTGGCATGCCCTGGCAGGTGGAAATGTCATGACTAACTGCCACAAAGTCAGAAATATGTGAGCGTGTGCAGTGGTTTCATTTTAAAGCTTCTCAGAAGTATATATTTATATTCATAAACCAGACGTAACATCCAGCTGTGAAGGCTGGCCTTCCTAAAAATCCCAGAGGAATGTGGATGAGAGAGGGAGTAAGGGGATAAACTAAAGCACAGATGTGTATTTTTGCTGGTACACATCCAAAAACTATATCTAGTTTGGTGAATCAGCTTATTTCAGACATCCAAAGTTCAAAGAGACAACTTCCAACAAGTGGTGACGTCCAATGAACAGGAGAAAAACCTTTCTACAGCTGTGTTGGTGAGAAAAGGAGGAGACAGGTTTAGTAAAATGGGGGAGGGAAGAGAAGAAGGCAGGAGGAGGGAAAGAACATTGACATAAACAGTGGGGCAAAGAAAGGGGAAGAGCAGCAGCAGCGTTTTGGACGGGTGGAAAATCAGCGCTGGAGAGGGTTAAGAGGAGGAGTTGGACGAAGACAAGACAGCGTGGAGAAGATTTCAGAGACTAACTGGAGAAGAAGAAGGAGGAAAAAAAGCGAATTGGGAACGTCTGCTTTGCTGAAAGAGGTAAGGAGCTCTGATGGTTTTCATTTAGAAGGGATCTCCTGGAGTGACGAGGCTCCTGTTTCTGCTCCCCGTCCATTTGTTGCTATATATTTCCTGCATGCAACATGTGTGTGTGTTGAGTTATGCGTGACAGATGAAACGAGGACAGAGGGAGGGAACGAAAGAGTGAGCCAGGATTCAAAAAGGGGGGAAGACTGTGCTCTACTTGAAGCTTCATATGGACTTTGACAACTCCAAAGATCTGAAGAAATTCAAATGTCTGGATCCATAATGGGTATTTGAAGAAAAGAAATAGTAGAAAAGCAAATTCCTTTTCTGGGAATGCAAAAAGTGAGGATAAAAAAGTTAGGAGTAAGTCATAAACCTTCATTGTGCTGAAACGGCATGAAGATTTATTGAGGTTTCTGCAGTGAAAGGATGAAAACTCCAAACATGGTTATGTTTATGCTCAAAAGTTATCAGGATTATGGAATCTGGGTCAGTTCCCTCCTCCTGCAGGGTCTTTAACCTCCCAGAAGAAGCAATGAAGTTCTGTTTATAATAGCAGTTTGACTAAGACACCAATTTAAGGAGAAAGTTCTTCTTTATTGCTTCTGAAAAGCTCCGCCAAACTTTGCAGAGTAGTTGGACATAATTGGTAGAGGAAGACAAAGGGGCAGAACTCCACGACCTTTGGGTTCTCCTGGGAACCCCGCTATACCCCGATGAGAGGCGGCCAACGTTGGGAAAGCATTCAGGAAGTGAAGGTCAGGGGTTAAAAGGCAGCCCGCTCGTTATTTCTGCGACCTCCTGCAGCTTTCTGTGTTGTGTAAGCCCCCCGCCCCCCGGCGGCCAAGAAGATTGAGCCTGAACGGCGGAGCATGTGATATCCCGTGAACAAGCGAGACGTGGAGGGAAATCATTGGATCTAATTGTGCGCCTGAAGAGGAGAAATGGTTACAGGGAGGAAAAAACTGACGTCTCTGTCTGGGTGGAGTTCAGCTTCACCAGCAGCTGTGGGTTTAGAAACACCAGAAGGCATAACGACTGCTTGCTCTAATATTAAACTGAGAAAAGGTTCTGTTTTCATGAGGACAGTCACACCCTACAGACCACAACACAAGACGGCCCTGTTCTTCAAAACAACCTTCTGTATCAAAAATATGTGACCAAACACAAACTATAACATGCAGAATATCAACTTACTTTATTATTTATGCAAAAATGTTGGTAAAAACCTCAGATACCACGGTGCCTTGCTGTCACTAAGGTCATAGGACAGTGGACACGATCTTTCAGTTGATGGAACTTAGGTTATGTTCACACAGCAGGCAAATGCAACCCAAATCCAACTTTTTTCAAATTTGGGCCCCAACGGATACAAATGGGTTTCCTCCGCAGGGTGGCTGGGCTCTTCCTTAGAGATAGGGTGAGAAGCTCGGTCATCCAGGAGGGACTCAGAGTAGAACCGCTGCTCCTCCACGTTGAGAGGAGCCAGTTGAGGCCCGGGCATCTGGTCAGGATGCCTCCTGGACACCTCCCTGGTGAGGAGTTCAGGTCCCACTGGGAGGAGGGGAAGACCCAGGACACGCTGGAGGGACGATGTCTCGGCTGCCCTGGGAACGCCTTGGGGTTCCCCAGGAGGAGCTGGAAGAGGCTGGAGAGGGAAGTCTGGGCCTCCCTTCTGAGGCTGCTGCCCCCGCGACCCGACCCCGGATGAAGTGGAAGAAAATGGATGGATGGATGGAACCAAGTCTACTGACCTGTCAGGCGTGAAAACACATTTAGTGTCATGTTTTGGATTGTGAGAGGAGTACCTGGAGAGAATCCACACAAATTTCAAGCAGACAGAGCCCAGACTAGGGTCTTCTTGCAAAATGGCGCCACCATGAAGCTCAGATTTAAAGGAAAAATAACATTTCACTTTTGTAAAAATATGATCATGTTTGACATTTTTGCTTCAGATTTTTGTGTCGATACAAAGATAATGTAAGAACTTGGCTATCAAACCGTGAGAATTGACTACCGACCCACGACTTGTTGAGGTAGATCATACTGAAAGATGCTGTTTTACTTCTTTACTCACTAAAGAACAACAAAATCTAAGGCTCCACCTTTGATATCGGAGAAAATATTGCAAAAGCACCAATGGGTTGTATTCAGGTCTTTCTATAAAAGCACCTTTAATAAGATGAAGGATGTTTACACCAGATTCACAAAGGCTATAGTTACGTTCTAAAACCTTTTACCATCTGAGAATATGTCTGCACTGGAGACATCAAGATTCTCTTTCTTGTTGTTTGCCAAAGAAAGAAAATGAAAGAAAATTAAAGGGCTTTTGTAATCTACAAGAATCTTAGAGAACCGTGATGGAAAATGTGTTTAGTGAGTGTGAATTACTTCCTCTTTACAGTGTAACACCTCTGTTGTCGCCACTTGTTGGATGTTTATTCCAAGTAGTTTCCTAACTTGTCCTACCACTACGCTATATTTTTAAATGTTTCACCTAATTTCTCCATCTTCAGGCTGCAAATACACCATATAGGACCAAAACTGTTTGTTTGTTTGTGTTTGTAGAAGAAGATGCATGTGCACCACAACTGTAAATAAGCGGCTGTGAAAGACAGGATGAGTTCAGTCATAGCCCCAATTTATTTTCGGATGGCTCATGTTGCAACGCTGGGAATGCTGGGAGGCTCCTTCTCAGTGTAGTCGTCAGAGCTCATTATTAGCAGCCTCCCGTTTACTGTAAAGCTCGCCCCGAGGTTCAAATTTACAACGCAAATCATCTTCCAACAGAAGCTCCAGCTCTTTATCTTGCACACAGAACCTCCACTATACGACTCAGGAACTGACATGTGTTGCAGCAGCTGCGTTTCCTCATAGCGGCCTTGACGGAGAGCAATGGTCTGTAAGCTGGATTTCTGATTTCCTGGTGAAGTGAGAAAAATGGAGTTCTAACAGCTGGCGGTGTTTGCTTTGAATAATTGTTTAAAGTTTTAGAGTTGCTTTTAGAAAATGTTGGAGAAAGACAGCTGTATGGCAAATATACTCTATACTGGCTTAGCTTTTGTCTAATAGTTTCGCAGGAGTTAAACTACAGTATTTCTGCTGTGCTGGTAGAAAAACGAGTAGTGGCCAATAAAGTTTACTGGTAGGGAAACCAGTAGGTTTCATGACTCATTAGTCAAGGACTGAACACAGTATGACAGTCTGACACATGTCAACTGGGGTGAGGTTTTCTAAATCTACACAGTCAAAAAAATTAACAGCAACAATTTGGGTTATTTAGTCATAAGAGAGGAAAGTGGTGAATATTTTTTTAAAGACTTATTTTCACCATGTTATTTATTCATTTATAAATGTCATAGTTTCAAACTAAATGTTTAATTAGTAACTGTAATTAATAATTTCGTCTGAAGCTAAACATTTAGCTCGCTAGCCAAATATTAGGTAATAGACAACTCACTTGCTGATAACCTGGAAGTGGACTATCAAAATAAGAGAGGTGTCTTCCGAACCTCCTGCTGCTGCGCGGCCGCATGTAAGTATTACTGTAGACGTCAGTAATGCCATTAAAACGGATCGTGTTGTATTTTAAGCTGAAATATTGTATATGACGAGAGGAAAAGAAACAACGATTACATGAGCAACAATAGAAGTTAATCAGCCACGCCAGCAAAAGTTACCCCGCTTTTATTTTGATAGTTGTAGTTCACTTCCGGTTATCGGCAACTGAATTTTGCATTTGCTAAATATTTAGCTCTGAGCTAAATACTCATCTGAGTATGTAGTTTGTAAATTAAATATTTAGCTCACTAATTAAGTACTAAGTTTGAAAATGTGACGTTTATAAATTAATGAATAACATTGTGGAAAAATAAAACTAAAATTTTTTCTCTGTTATGTAAGCTAAGCATCTCAGCTATTTTTTCCTAACTTTACAAATGAGAGAATAATGGCATTTTTTCTTTCTAGTTGGACCAATGTGTTACTCATTTGTCTTTTTTTTAACTAGTTCAGCAAAATATTGAACTAATTTTGTAATTTACCAACTGATGATGCAAAGTCCTGATCTAGCAGGTAGAAATGATGGTTGATGTCAAGGATATTTAATAAATATGGTTCTAAAGCTACATCTTAAATGTGAAGAATATCAAAATAAAGATAATTAAAGTTATTTAAAAGTACTCCCTGGTTTATTTTCTCGTTCATGAAGCAGTTTTATATAAAAATGTTCCTCATAAAAATGTGTGTAGTTGAGCTGTTTCTTTTTTTTTCCAGAATCAGCTTGCAGATAAACATGCAGAATGACAACATAGTCAGAACTAATCTGAGATGCTTTTTTACTTTCCCAGAGAGCACAATGTCGACGTCGTCATCAGAAAACAATCCCGAGGATGTCAACCATCGCAGCTTCTGGATGGTATGTGCTGTGTGTGTGTGTGTGTGTGTGTGTGTGTGTGTGTGTGTGTGTGTGTGTGTGTGTGTGTGTGTGTGTGTGTGTGTGTGGACCGGGAGACATGGCTTCCCTTTCTCAGTCTGAAGGCTGTGTTACTTCCAGTCAAAACAGAACAAATAGTTTTGTTGCTCAGGGAGCAAACCTTCAGAAATCAGGCTTTATCTCCACTTTTAAATGTCAGCAGTAACCTCTAGGCTTTTAGAACTGCCTTAATTGGAAGTTTTTTTTATGGTTATTTTTGGCGAATCTTGTCTTGTGGTTACCTGCAGCAGTGCTGCATATTTGAACAGGATTTCATTTTCACCGTTTTCTACACAAAAAGGCGAAAATTACACGCTTTAATTAGTTCATCACCGTGCATTTTCATAAAACGTCAACGTGAAATGATTTTTAATATTTAACAAAAAAAACTAGTTAATACAGTTTTATATTATGAATCAGCTTTTCTTTGCTTTATAAATGATCTAAGCCAAGGATGTTCAAAAAGGGCGTGGGGGCCATTTGCGGCCCCTGTACTGATTTTGTGCCACAATTGACCACAATTCAAGATTGAATTAAATAAATTAAGACAACACAAAGTTATGATCTTTTCCCAGCTTGATAATTTCCTTCAGTTGTCACGGTAACTAAGACCACATCTACCCATTGACTTGCACTCTAATATACACCTTGGTGCACCCAAACCTGCTTTTAATATCTGTATTAAAACTTGGCTAAGTACAGAAAGTGTTTTCAAATGAAGACTGGCCAAGATCCTGCTTTTATGGCCAAAATATTTTTCAGTTTTCTTCAATCAAGACCAGAATAATAATCAAACAGTATGCCGTTCATTTAGTAAGGTAAAACCATTTGAAGTCTTACAAAACATTCTGGTTATTTGTTTAATTTAAAATAGTTCAGGCTTAGTTTGTAGTTGAGTGAAAGACGACTACATAGTCTGTGTTTTGATTTTAAAAATATGTTTTTCACCTACATACATTTGAGTTGAAAATTTATTTTGACTTATGTGACAAAAAGTAATGGTTCCTCTGTGAAATCAGAAATTATCCAATGTTAAGCACATTTTTTGTAAGCTGTGTTCAGTTTCACTACCAGACTTATAGACTCAAGAAATCCCCCAAGCAGAACCTCTCTGACAGCATGAAGTAGGTCAAGAAACCTCAAATAACAACACATTATATCCCCTGAAAAACAGATGAGAAACAACGTCGACATCTGTCAGTTTGGAAATGTTTGCAGAGTCATTTCTGAATATTTGAGACTCCAGAGAAACACAGTGAGAGAAAACATGAAACGGCTAATATCAGTGTTTGTGACTAAAACATAGAAATGGGACAAAAACGGAGCACTCTAAAACCAGAACAAAAATAGTCAAACTGTAAACTTAATAGTCACCAAAAACCTCTAGAAGAATGTTCTCCAGACTGATGAGACACAGGTTGACCCTTTTTTAGAAATATGTGTCCCATTGCGACTGTTGTAAAAATTAACATCATTTCAGGAACAAACAACATGCCAACAGCCAAACCGGGTCTGCTTTACTGCTTCAGGACCTGGACGGCTTCCTGTAATTTATGGATGCTCAGCTCTCTACCAGAAAACCCTGGAGGAAAATATCCAGCCATCAGTTCCTGAGCCTGAACTCAAGTTCACTTTCAGAACCACCTCTAAATGTTTCACAAAGAATAACGAGAATTTCAAGTGTTCTAGTCAAAGTCTGGGTTTACATCCAATTGGTGCCCAATTATGCTTCCTAAAACAGGTTAGACAAGGTCAAAGGTCGAAACAAATTGTGTTCATTACATTGTTTTGTATAAAATCATTCTCAGATAATGAGATTTCTATCTGCTCAGCTCAGAATGAGCTGCTTTAGGGGGTCTAGTCACTTTAAAACAAAATAAGCTGCTCCTGGTCACGCCCCCAACTCAACATTTACACCTACATGAAAATGGCTGCAAACAAATGCACAATTATACAACCGTACATCTTTGAAAAGCATTAGTAGCACCTCCTGTGTAACCAACAAGAGAGCAGCAAATGGTTTCTGGATGGTACGTCAACAACAAAACTCTTGTTTTTTCCAGCAGCCATTGTACAGCAGTAAAACCAGCTCACCAAACATGCTGGTGGTCTGTTTGGGATGCTATGTAACGTGTGGAACTATTATAACTATTATATTATCTATTATGGCTGAGTTAAAACAATTTTGATAAAAAAAAAGAGACAAAATTTCTCCTCAGTGAAGTAAAACACAAAACTAATACAAAAGCTTATCAGGTTTAGGGGATAGTTACTTTTTTACATAATCTAAGAAAACAAATGAAATCTAATGTCATATTTCTAACCAGGTTGTAACTGAGCGTGGGTGAAAATTGAGTGTTTGGACTGGTTTCTGCTGCTGTTTACTGGGATCACTGGGGCTGCCCCACTTTGATCTCTCTCCTCCTGTAATTTAGGAAGCCTCCCGTTGGGTTTTTGTGTTTCCAGACCACTTCCTGTCTGTCATCCTGCTGCCACGCTTTACGGCCGCCTGTCAACGCTGCAAATGTGAAACAGAGTAGACCAAGTTTTCAAAATCACTCAAATGGTTTCACTAAGCGTTTAGTTTGATTCCCTGGTTTGTTTTTGTTTCAAATTATCCTCTATCTTCAAGATTTTTACATTTATTTTTAAATTTCCTTGGATTTTAGCTGTTTTTTCCCTCTTAATTTAAGTATATCTTTTGCGGATGTTATTGTGGAACGTAACTCCAAATTATTTACATAAATTACATCTATTTTCAAGGTTTTTTAAAAAAATATTCAAAAGTAAAGGTAGCTTTGGAAGGGGTGTCAAAACTGTTGAGCCAAGAAAATAAAAATAAAGCTAAAATCAGGGAAATTAGTCCAGTTTTTTATTTGTTTGTTGTTGTTTTTTGTAGGGAAAGGATGTTATTCAATTTATTTCCAAAAATGTTACCAAATTCTTTACAAATATTCTTATTTCTTTGGAAATTTCTTTAAGAAATAAAGTATTTCTATCCATCAGATGAACAAATTTATGCTTAGTAATAAAAACAGTATTTGAGTCACTTTCTTTGTGACTATTTGATATGTTTTGCCAAGTTTAATAAATGAAATAAAAGCTAATTTGGGTGCAGCAAAGCTGTTTTTTTTTTTCAGTGAACATGGAGGTTCTCTCTAATCTCTGCCAAAATAAGATGAAACTAAAACACAATTCCTTTGTACTTCTTTCTCTGAATCAATGAAAATACCAAAGATAACACTGGTTGGCAGATTTTACAGGGTTTTTTTTACCTTTTTATATCTGCTCTAAAAAAGTCATTTAATCTTTATTTCACCAGGAACATCCCACTGAGATTAAAAATCCCTTGTAAGAAAATCCTGACTTACAGAACAATTACAGCAAAACCAAAACAAATTAAAACCATTATATATAAATTAAAACATTCCTCAGTTAAAATGTTTACAAACAGATTATTACGTCTCATAATCAGTAAGGACAGACTTAAAGAAATTTAGAGACAACATCACCTGTAAGTTCATGTAATTCTGCAACTGAAAGCTGAAAAGATTTCTGTCCAAGTTCAGTTTGGACTTTAGGCACCGAGAGTACAAAAATAAATTTAATAAGTATAGAAATAAAGTATTTTGAGCCGTAAAACATTTTGTTATCCTACAGTTCTTCGACATGCAAGCTAGTGCATTTCTTGACTGTAAAAAGTAAATTTTTCAAACAATATTTTGAGGAAAATCAATAATAAATCACCATCATTACCACAAGAACCTGCAGTACTGTAAGTTTAAATGCTGTGTTGTATGTTTTATGTAAAAACAAGGAGTGTAATTCGACACGCATGGTCGTCTTTGTTTGACACGTCTTTTTGTTGGCTGTAGTAGAATTAGATCTGCCTCAGAGATCGGCCAACTGGGTCTCTGCAGCGCTGCTGTTGGCCTCAAACCGGATTCCTCAGCTGTTTCTGCTTAATGCACAGACGAGAAAGAGAAGGAGAGTTGCTAGAAACCACAACAGACGCAAAGTAAAAGAAAGAATAAATGAGGAGAAAAAGAAAGGGAAGGGCGTAGATGTGAAAGACCCCAAATGGTTTCAATTAAAGACCGAAGATATAACACAACCGGCTAAATAAGAGATTTGAGTGTTGACTATAAAATACAAGAAGGAAGGATTAGTGTAGCAAAGAGAGTGTCTTTTATTAAATCCTAAATATCTTTGCAGACACATTGAGGATTATTTACATGCCTGGAATTCAATATGTCTTCTATTATTAGCTGAAGGCCGCTGAGTGCCAACGTGTGCAGCTCCACAGAGAGGCGCTGCGTCACCGGCGTGATTAGGAACATCTGTCAGACGAACCGGCTCACACGTGTCGGTTTTTACACGCAGCGCGAAGATTTAACAAACGGTGACAACGCGCGATTTGAAGTGTCTTTTTAACCAGCTGTCGACTCGTGTCAGTCGCTGAAAGTCTGACAGGAAGTGAAGAGCCCAGCGGAGCCGGAGCTGATGGCGGCTGCCAGGAAAATAGCAGATATTTCCAAATTCCACATCTACAAACAACAGACGAGCTGCGGATATGTTAGGGCTGGGCCGCACACTTTGCTCCTTATATGGTCAGTTCACCGCAGGAAATGGGGTCAAATGGTGCTGGTAGCATGTCACGTGACTAAAATGGTTTGTAATTTTTGCTAATATAAAGTATTTAACAAAGTTTACCGCTTCTTGAAGGGTCGTTCAGGTGAGCTTCTCTTATCTGTGCAGATTGAGCTGATTTTAGGTTAGCTTAATGTGTTTTAGCAGATTTGGCTTATTTTATTTTATCTGACCTTCAATTATTTTTTACAGTGTTTTTGTTGATCTTAGCTTATTTTAGGTTTGTGTGCTGTAGATAGTTTATTAATTTAGCTGATTTTATCTTATTCAATGCCATCTTAATTTAGCTTAAGTTAGCAGATTTTAGCTTATTTTTTCTATCTTATTTAACTTTGGGTGACATAGGGTGGTCGCTTTCTTACTTTAGCTGATTCTGTCTTACTCTGGGTTATGGCGGATGATTTTAGCTTTGCTAATTTAACTTAGCTTAATTTATCTGAACTTATTTTCCCTGTAATAATAACCATAAAATGGTTTAATTTCTTAATTTCTCACAGTTTACCTTGGTTCAATTTATCTTAATTTAACTTTGTTTATTTTAGTGACATTTATCTTATCTCAGTTTGTCTTATAGTAGCATAGAATTGGTTGGTTTGTTTTTGTTGTATCCTTATTAAAAGAAAAAAAAACTAAACAGACAATATCCATTTTTCTTGAGTCATCAATTGTTTTCCAAGATGAACCAAAACCAAACAAACCAAAATAAGATACTGCAAGCTAAAATAAAATAATGTAATAATAATAAGCTAAAATAATCCAAGCCAATGTTCAGATCAACTAAAGTAAAATAAGCTGAACTGTTTTTTATAGTAGCTAATTTAAGCAACAATCTGAAATTGTTTTATGTTTTGGATCTTTGTTGATAGAAATGAATTGTTGCATTTTAATCTAATGGATCTGGTAGTTGAAATTCACCCCTGCAGTTTGTGTTGAGTCCATTCAGCCTCCCCTCTTCCTCTTTCTGCATCATGACAGCCTGGGAACTATCATCCCACCGTGAAGCGCACAGAAGATTCCTTCCAGGCCTGCAACGACATCGTGACGTGTTTCCAGGAGAGAGCCCGTGTGGAGAGGCAGTACGCCCAGCAGCTCGACGAATGGAGCAACAAGTGGAAACCAGTAGTGGACTCCAGTGAGTGTTGCCTCTACAAAGCAAATGATGAACACATGAAAGGAAAGCTAAACCCTCCTGCTCCTCCGTTAGGTCCTCTGTACGGGTCGCTACTGAAGGCTTGGCAGTGCTTCCTGTTGTCTGCCGACCGGCTGGCCTCGTTACACGCCTCCATCTGTCGCTCCCTGGTGTCGGAAGACGCAGACCGGGTCAGAACCTGGCAGAAGGACACCTTTCACAAGAAGTTATTTGGAGGCTTCAAGGAGACCCAGGACATTGAGACCGGGTTTGCACGCGCTCAGAAGCCCTGGGCGAAACGGCTTAAGAAGGTAAAATTTAATTAATTTAAACTTGGACCTGTTTTTTTCTTACGATATAGTTTGTAATAGTTGGTTGTAATAGTTGGAGGTGGGTAGAGTAGTTAAAAAATATTAGCAAATGAAAGATGGCCATTCAAGTAGAAGTAACAGATTTTAGATCTTTTAGATGCTGCGGCTACTAAAACCTTTAGAACAATTACTAAGAAATACTTTAAAATTTTTCTAAATACAAAATATTAAGGCTTTATTAACAAAGTTTGTTTCCTAAAGGATCTTTGAGGTAAGTTTGTCTTTCAGAGCAGGTTTATCTTATTTTAGGTTAGCTTAGCTTAATTTAGTTTAGCGGATTTTGGCTTAGCTTATTTTATATGATCTTAAGTAATTTTATTAGTTTGTCTTAGTTGATCTTAGCTTGTTTTAGTTTCTGCGCTGTAGTTTGGGAGGATTTATCTTATTTAAGCTGATTTGATCTTATTGTAGGTTGGCTTAGCTGAGTTTAGCTTGGCTGAGTTTAGCTTGGCTTCACTTAATTTATCTGATATTAATTTATCTTCTCTCAAACCTATTATTACTCAAGTAAAAGTAAAAAGTACAGAGTAGTAAAAATACTCCTAAAAGCAAATTTTATCAAAAACTTTACTCAAGTAAATGTAACTAGTTACAACCAACTCTAATAGTGTTATTTTATTTTCTTCCTGCTTGAATTATTGCATTTAGTTTTGATCCATGAGGTTGAAACCAACATTTATTAATTGCTTTAGTTTGCAGCTCATGTTGTTAAGCATATAATGAATTTAATCTTTTATATTTGCTCTGAAAATTACTGTAATCATTCTTGAGCTGTGTCTCCATGAGCTTGGCCTTTTAAAAAAGTTGACCTTTGCGACGTATCATTAAAACCTCCCAGCTGGCGTAGATGACATTTCTTGTTAACGGATTATGTTTATGTATTAATTACCTCTCAAATCATGTAGTTTTCTCTTTCAGTGGGTACGAGAGCCCAGAATGTGTCCTTTCTGAAGCGATCCCTCTTTATTTCCTCTGAAGCATATAAGTGTACATAGGCCTCTGCTGAGAAGAGGAGTCGTTTTAACATTTTGTTCTTCTAAAAAGAAAACAACCATGTTTTTACATTTGTGATTATGTTGTTTCTTTAGGCTTCAAGTCCAGCCAGCATTCACATATTGGACCCGTATGAATAAGAAATCCACTGAAAAACGAGTCTTAGATGAGATTGTGTATTGTTAGCACTGCTGTTAAAGGCGTGACGTTAGATAACTCTGGGCTAAAAAGTGGCATCTCTGTACGTTTTAAATATGTTTATATACATCTAGATTAAGTTAAAGATTAAGGTGGCATCCTTAAAAAGTCTTAAATTTGTCTAAAATTAAGGCCTTAAATATCCTGAATTTATTACAAAAATGTAAGTTGGCCTTAAACCCATTCATCACAGCTTTTTTGTCACAGCAGGACAATTTAGTCTCAGATATTCTAGTCGTCTTAATGTCGTCTCAACGCTAACACTACTTGCTAATGTACTCCTGATAGTTAGGTAGCAATCGTAGTTGCCGTCTCTTTCAGTTCTTGTTGCAAAATAACTGTCGTTCTTGGTCTTATTTTTTAATTTCACTGGTTTTCCAGCTCTTTGTTTCATGGGTAAGTGCACATTTATTGGCTGGATGATGTTTGTTTTTGCCACTGACTCACTTCTGTTGTTAACTTTGTTCTGTTAACTTCTCAGCTTGTCACTGCATTACAGTAGCATCCCTCAACAACACCCTAAACTTACTGTTTTTTCAGCCTTCAGTTTTGTTTAAGGTGGTGTTAAAAGTCTTACAGGAAACTTGCAGATGTCCTGAATGCGGTTCTGATGCAAGTGATGCAAAAAGAGTGCAGTGTCATCAGCATAATGACAAATGTATCTAAAAGGATTCTGGGCCGAGTCCAGAGCCTTGAGGAACGCCCTGGACCCATAAAGAACGTGTGGAAACTAGAGTCCATCAGGTCCTTACAGTTCCACCTCAGTGGATCTGGTTGGAGAATCCAAACAACTTATGATTGCAGAAATCGATCTCTTGCAACTGTTACTGTAAAATAACTTCAATTTGTAGTAATATATTTTTAATCTTACAGGTTCTCTTGGCTAAATTGGCTTCTCTTCTAATCAAAGTTCTGCTTTCGTACCTTATGTGACCAAATGATCTGGTTTCTTTTTCCACAGTTGGACAAAGCTCGGAGGGCGTACCATAAGGTGAGCCGTAAGGAGCACGCCGCTAAGGAGAGGGACTTTCACGCTCAGGGAAACCCAGATGTTTCTATTGACAAGCAGAAAAAGATCCAAGAGGAGCGAGAACTGGCTCAGCAGGAGGCCGAGAAGGTGAGTAACGCGCATCATCCCCTTTCTTTTTACTTTAAATTTAAGTTAAAATGTGATTCGTCTCCATCTGTTCCACTCATTTGCCTCCTAACTTGAAAATTCAGAGTCCTTGTGTGGCGTTAAATACACGCGGTAATTTTCTGTGAAGACTGACGCGATTAAAGCTGCGGAAGGACAGCAGGTTGTCCATTAATTTCACAGATGGGGGTTCAACCGGGAGCTCCCACTCGGCAGTAAAAATGGCTCATAACAGCAAATCAAGTACTCCAAAACCAACTAGGGCTAATGGCTGAATGGGGGGCAACATGTAAACCGTTTTTGTCTGTAATGGCAGTACAAGTCGAGTCTCTTCTCTTTAATTAGTTGGTGTTTAAAGTTTGTTTCTTTTACCCTTTTCCAAACCATAAAACTTTAATCTGAGGTTAAAATGTCCATCTTTCTGTTATTGTATCATTGATTAACTACTTTTAAAGCTGCACTAGCATGAATGTTGTGCCTGTATTTTATCTTTGTTCTATTTTTTCTAAAAAAAAAAAAAAGTTAAATCATATTTACAGTTAAAACATTTAAGGTTTGCTCGAAAAACATCTAAGTGTTTAAAAAACTTAAAAGCACACTATTTTTAAAAAAATTCCTTTAAAAACTTACACATTTTTATACAATTAAATGCAAAATTGATATATTCTTGTATAATTTTCGCTGCTCTGAAACTGTTATTCTTTTAGCAAATTATATTTTTTGAGTCTTCATTCTCCAGTTAACGATTAATCGATTACTAAATGAGCTGACGATTATTCCAATAATCGATTAATCACGATTAATCGTTTCAGTTACCTGTAGTAGTTGCTGCTTTGGCTGAATCTTAGGTCCGCGCTCGCTATGAGAAAGTCCTGGAGGAGGTGAACCGCTACGTTCCTCGCTACATGGAGGAGATGGAGTCCGTTTTCGACCAATCCCAGGACGAGGAGCGAAGGAGGATCGTGTTCCTGAAAGACGCCTTCCTGTCCATCCACAAACACCTGGACGTCACCACCAACGAGAGGTGAGCTGCCATCGCTCCGGCCGCTGCGCCGACAGACGATGAATGGTTTTCAATACGGAGCTTTATTCAGCTCTCACTGGTCAGAATAAAACATAAAACACGTCAAGATGATGAAATGACATGCTAACAGGTCAGACAACATTTAAATAATCACATCATTTTATTTATTCAAATAAAATCAGTTGTACGTTGTAGAAATATGCTTCCTTGTGTGAAATAAACATTATTATTAACTCAATGGCTGTGCTGCGTTTAAAGACGAGCTGCAAACAGAAGGGCACTGCTAAACAGGAAGTTCTGGTTTCCTTATTTTCAAAATAAAACTCAGTAAACAGTGTAAAATTATATGACGGTATTAAAGCCGTGATAAAAAAAATTTAAAAACTTGAGGATTAAGACATAATAAGATTTCTAGAAATATAATATTCTCATTATTTTGACTTTATTAAAAGTCATTATTTTGACTTTATTATTATTTTGACTTTATTGTCCATTGCTGTTAATTTTCTGCTGCTCACCTGCAGTCACTGTGGTGGTTTTGGTTCTCTGATGTGTCAAACATGTAGTTGTGATTTATTTGTTTTTGTTTCTCCACCGTTTGTTCATGACTGTAGTGACTTTAGATCAAACTAAACTCAACGCTGATTAAAAAATTGCTCCACTTCTTGTTATTGCCCAAGTGTTTCTCAGTGACTCCGAGTCTCTTAATGGAGAATTGCAGATAAAACGGCCATTTAATTACTTTTCAAACATCTATCACAGCTGCAGGGCGGGAATGGGGGAGATGGGAGATATATCATCCACTTAATGCTTTTTAATCTCTGTTTTACGACGATCCATTTTGCTCCCCCGCTTGTCGCTCAGTGTGATCGCCGTGTACAGCGAGCTGCACAACACCCTGATGGGCATCGACGAGCAAGAAGACCTCCGCTGGTGGAAAAACACCCACGGGCCCGGCATGCCGACCGACTGGCCTCACTTCCAGGTGTTTGATCCGCTCCGACGTTCGTGACTTTTACAGCAAAGTTCAGTTATGTGGCTTTAAATTAAACCTTATTCAAATCTTTCAAAGGATTATTCACCTAAGAAGAAAAGCAAAAAGGGGAAGAAGGAGGTGGAGAAAAAGAAAGGAACAATAGAGAAGAGGTTAGTGGATCTGTTGGGGTCATGATTCAGCTGTTTGGTCTGTCAAATATTCCTGGTGTTTAAATTTAATCCAGACATTTCTCTAATCCTGTTCAGATCGGATCTACCATAATGTTGGTTTACTTTATTTATGCCAAAACCAGTTTGGATGTTTGAGGTCAATCGTTCAGCTGCTGAATAAAATGAAAAAGTGGAATTTAAAGACACTTTGGGGGACGGATGGATGGATGGATGGATGGATTGGTGGTTTGGAGGACTGATGGATGGATGGATGGTTTGATGGATGGATGGACGGACGGATGGATGGATGGATGGATGGATGGATGGGTGGATGGATTGGTGGTTTGGAGGACTGATGGATGGATGGATGGTT